GTTGTCAACCAAAAATAAAACAAAATCTACAACTGACAGATTTATATTTGGAAACAGCATTAAAGGAAACAGAAACAACAGAACCAGAACAAATGGAATTAAAATGCAAATCAGCCATTATCTAACTGAATGATGTAACATGTTCGAGGGGCTGAAAAGCCTCATCTTGTATACACACTTCAGACAAAATAATGTCAACTCTAGATAGCAGCACCAGCATCCTCAAATGTATACAACAACTGATTTGTTTTTAGCAGGGGTCTGAGGAAGACAGGAAGAAGGTGGAAGGAAAGTATTTTGAACAGAAATATACTTAAAAAAATGATTGAGAGAGGAGCAGAGAATATTGATACGTTAAAGCCCATGTGATGCCATTTGGAAGACAGGTTCTTGATCAACATCCTACCCACCCTATTTCACAGCTCTGGGACATTGATGCAAATACAATGACCAACCACGGCCTTGGATTAGCTCAGTAAATCCTACCTGTTCCTGGGGTCTGGTTGGTTGAACTGAGATAACTTGTATGTCTTGTTGACATTCATGCAAAGGTTTAGGTCCAATGTACAATTATACTATGTCCCGATAATATGTACCATCTTAGAAAATACTTATGGTGTTGAGATTTACTCATTGTAACACAGCCATATAGTGGATCTTGGATTATAAAGGTCAACTTTCAAACCTGGGCCCTTAACACACTGAACGCAGAATATTCTTTGCAAGTTATTAAATAAATACCCATTTCCTGGCGTATAGAATTACTGGAATGTAAGCATGTGTATGTATGTGTGTGTGCATGTGCGTTTTCAGGGTATGGGAACACATCTCGCCTAAGCTATGACAACCATGAGCAATTCTGAGATCAACATGTGCAGGTCAAGTAAAATTCCTTCTAAATTATCCTTACAAATTCAATGCACTTTTGCTCCAAGGATTATCTTCTACCTTGTTACACTTTGATATTCACATCTCAGACAAGTTCTATGACCTCTCTGAAGGAAGCTATCTAATTGCCGACAAATAATGGGCTGTTTGAGACTATGTACCAAGAATCACATGGAACTCAAGTTAATACCACACAAACCCTTTGGGAGGCCAAACAGCTGTCAACTAGAAATGATTTGCTGACTAGTCACTTTGGAATAGATTTAGACTAATGTGCAAGGGCAGAAAGATAGGATTCTAATGTATTTCTCCATTCAGATCTCCATTTCCTTGGAAAGTTATAAAGTAAAAATAAACTAAAGAGTTTGATTATTTTTAAGATCACTGCCTGGATTGATTTGCAATTGGAGACCTCAGAAGGTCATTTTAATTTCCCTTTAATGCTACTGGGTATATTTTCATTGTGTTGGGTTTCAACCATGCCTTGTTTACAGGTTCAATTGCTCAGAATTTCACAAATGTGTGGAAAAGAAAGAACAGAAAGAAGGAAAGAAAGTAAAAAGACTATACCCAGACATTTCTCAATCAAAGCACGCCCAAAATTTTTTTGTAGCTGATGAACTACTTTTGAAGTGTGGTAGATGGTGTAACATAGGAAACATAGTAGCAGAATCTCCCAGCAACGTGATAGCGGACTGATCAGCTGTTTTAGTGATGCTGATTGATTGCCTAGGTCTGAGCTGCTAGGGACACCAGGGAGAAATCCACTGCACTTCTTCTGAATAGCGCAAGAGGCCAGCTGGCACCTCCATCAGGTACGGCGCACTCTCAGTATTGCACTGGGAGTCTCAGTCTAACATTTTGGTGGACAGGTCTTGCGTGGGGCATGAACACACAACCTGCTGACTCAGAGGCAGCAATGCTGACCAACTGAGCCATGCTATGTCTAGTTCTTGATAACGAGATAAGTATTCAAAAGTTCCTCTCTGAATCCCGTAGGTGTTCTGGCACCAAGAACAAAGGCTGATGGGGAATTTCACACCATTAGAGTCTTAGAGTCATCCAACACGGAAACAGATCGCTTTGGTCCAACTCGTCCATGCCGACCAGGTATTCCAAACTTAACTAGTCCAGTTTGCCTGCCCACATCCCTCTAAACCTTTCCTATTCATGCACCTGTGTCTTTAAATGTTGTAACCGTGCCTGCCTCTACCTCTTCCTCTGGAAGCTCCCACCACCCACTGTGTGGAAAGGTTCCCCCTCAGATCCCTTTTAAATCTTTCCCCTCTTGCCTTGAACTCATGCCCTCCAGATCTTGGTTATTCTATGTCCCTTATCTATGCCCTTCATGATTTTATAAACCTCAATAAGGTCACCCCTCAGCCCTTGACGCTCCAGGGAAAAATGTCCCAGCCTATCCTAATAACTCAAACCATCCAATCTCAGCAACATCCTTCTAAGCATTTTTCTGCATCCCTTCTATTTTAACTAGCCTTCGTCCTGGTCTTCAGCAGCATTCAGTCACAGACCATTATCCTTATCTAAAAGTCTGATGGGAAAGCAACTGGGCCCTCAAACATTGGATAGCCAATTTACTCAGTTAAAGGCCTTTTAGCCCCTGTCACTGGAAGTCAACTTGGATTCTCTGGGTTCTGGGTTCTGATGGCTATGGGAGATAGTAAGCTCCCTGGTGGTAGCTTCCTAGCTGCAGACTGGGAGCTAGTACTCATCTGGCAAGCTTAGAGCCTCTTCTTGCCTGCCTAGGTGCTGAAACAGCCATGGCTCACCTGCAGTGTGAACACGGTTGCCAACTCTGGTAAGACATACAGGGGGAGATGTCAGTAAAAGTACTGGCCCAGAAGCTGGTAGCATCAAATGAATAGGGTTTGGGTTCAATTTGGTTGTAACAGTAGATAAACACACAGTCCTGCCTCGGTTTCTCTCATTGCTGTCAGTGCACAATAATTGAGGTGGGGAGATACTGGAGCCATCAGTGACAAGAAAATCTCAATCTCAAGAGTCTTTGCGAAGTCTTGGCTGCGTTTTGAACCGGCCTGCCTCCAATACAGCTGCAGAGCTGCAAATGATACAGATGGAAATATTCTAAGTTGGAATCCCGATATACCAATGGAACTAGAATTAGAATGCCATGTCGCCCATCAATGTTCCTTCTGTAACAGACATATGCAGCCACTACTCTCATCCTTTGCCTTAACTACTGATGCTTCACTTGTAATAAGTCTCCTCACACAGCTGCAGTATCTTCTGGGATTGTAATCTACTCCACCCAGATCCCCGCACTCTGCCATGAAGGGATAAGAGCCTACATTTCCCAACCCCTAGTTCCATTAGATGCTCCATCCTGGTTTGGAGCAGGTGGGCTTGCGGGCTAAACTGGCTGGACTCACTCTTCAACGCCAATCTAAATTATTCTTCTAAAATCTGCTGGAGTCCTTCATATGGGCACCAGGAAAGCGATGCCAATTCCAATTGACTATTGCCCATTCCATGGGACAGCACAGTGGCTCAGTGGTTAGCACTACTGCCTCACACTACCAGTGACCTGGGTTCAATTCCACCCTCGGGTGACTGTCTGTGTGGAGTTTGCGCCTTCCCCCCGTGTCTGTGTGGGTTTCCTCTGGGTACCCCGGTTTCCTCCCACAGTCCAAAGATGTGCAGGTTAGGTGGATTGGCCATGCTAAATTTCCCCGTAGTGTCACTAATGTACCCATCAATGTACCTACTGCTGCTTTCAAGCTGATAGGCCCTCCAGCTTTGACAGACCCCTTAACTGGACAGTAAGCTTGCACTCTGGCCATTAATTGGCCACACTGAGCTAAATTACATTGACTTACCGGTGCCCAAATACTGTGAACTTCTGACCACCATTTGAGCCCAGTACTAGCATTCAGAAGCCCACATAGAAAATCCCACCCATGGTGTTTGCATTGGAGAACAGATCTTGCTAAATACTTTTCCAAAAACACAATGCTCTGTGATTTACATGATAGCTGCGATTAAAAAAAGACTGATTAGTTTATGCAGGTAACTATGATCAGTTGTGGTGATGAGATAATCTGATTACACATCATACTGGGAGACTGGGGCAGAGATCACTGAAAGCAGTGGTGTAATGTATCCAAAAATCAGGCAGGTCTAGTGGAATGTTTTACTTCTAGAATGCTGTCTCCCAGAAAGAGCAACAGATGCACTCATCAACAAATTGTTGGATGAATAACTGGTTGGGAACAAAATGACAAGAGGATAATTACAGACAAAGATAATGGGCCCAAGGCCATTGGACTCTTGGGAATATTATGCCAAAGAAAGCTATAGATCAAGGAGGAATTATTTAAAATGAAAAATTAACAAAATGGTTTAACTTATTCTTGAGGACTGAAAGGAACTTTAACAATCCATTTGTTTAGAAGCCGTAAAGGATTAGAAACGCTTTATTTATAGTGAAATTGGATATTGTCTTTTTCATAATCTTCACAGATCCTTACAGATTCACAGCAAGAGGCCATTCAGCCCATTAGCAGCTCATTGTGCCTTGCACTATCATCCCTTCTATCGTTTAATTTCTCTTACCTTCCATCACATCACTGATCTTCCCTCTGGAGACAATAAGGATTGTAGATGTCCCGATGAAGGGTTTTGCCCCAAAACATTGACTTACCAGCTCCTCGGATGCTGTCTGACCCCATTGCTTTTCTAGCCTCACACCTATTGACACTGACCTTCCCTCTATCTCTTTCGCCCTTTCCTTGTACCTCTACTTTCTCAAAACCTGTTACATCTCCTGACTCTTTCCAATTCTGATAAAATGCCAAGCACCTAAAATGTTGGGCCCAATTTTAACACTGTGTAAGTAAATGGACTTTGAGTGAGTTCAAATCTTAACCAGTCAACTCTCTTTCTCTCTCCAGAGATACTGCTTGACTGTTGAGTGTTTTCAGCATTTTCCGTTTTCATTTGAGGTTTTCAAAATGCAGATATTTTGCTTAAGGGCTGATAGCCCAAATGACTTTTTTGCTCTTTGTGCTTTCATGTCTCATGGAATGTAGCTTTGCACATTAAAAGAAAATTGTTACTGGTTCAGTTCATCTTACCTTGGTAGGGTAGTGTACTGATGATGTTCCAGTTCTTCAAATTGGGGTCGGCCATTTGGTCCTTTTACAGGAGCTTGTATCTGGAATGAATACATTGATTATTAATATCTGAGCACGTAACATACATGCATGCTGATTACTTGCAAGTGGGGTAGACATTCCTCCAAAAATGTAAACACTTAACCAAATCCACCCAGACTTCTAATCAATTCAACATAGCCTACTAATCTAGGAAAATATGCATTTAGTCTGCAAATAACCAATCCAACATAACTACCTCAACTTATCTTGCTGACTAAACTCAGTCAGCTCAATAACTCATCAGTTTGTTCTGTAAGTCAAGCCAGTCATAGAGTCATGGGGATATACAGCATGGAAACAGACATTTCGGTCCAACTCGTCCATGCCGACCAGATATCCTAAATTAATGTAGACCCATTTGCCAATATTTGGTCCATATCCCTCTAAACCCTTCCTATTCATGTACCCATCCAGATGACTTTTAAATGTTGTAATTGTCCCAACCTTCACCACTTCCTCTGGCAGCTCATTCCATGAACGCAACACCCTCAGTGTGGAAAAGTTACTCCTTGGGTCCCTTTTCAATGTTTCACCTTAAGCCTACATCCTCTGGTTTTGGACTCCCCCACCCTGGGGAAAGGACTTTGTCTATTTACTCTATCCGTGCCCCTCATAATTTTATAAACCTCTAATAAGATTACCCCTCAGCCTCTGACATTCCAGGGAAAATAGTGCCAGCCTATTCAACCTCTCCCTGGAGCTCAAACCCTCTACCCCTGCCAAAATCCTTGTAAATCTTTTCTGAACCCTTTCTGCTTTCACAACATCCTTCCTGTGGCAGGGAGACCAGAATTGCACACAGTCTTACCCAATGGCCTAACCAATGTTCTGCAGAGCTGCAACATGACCTCCCAACTTCTATACTCAATGCACTGAACAATAAAGGCAAGTATACCAAACACCTTCTTCACTATCCTATTTACCTGCAATTCAACTTTCAAAGAACTGTGAACCTGCACTCCAAGGTCTCTTTGTTTAGCAACACTCCCCAGGACCTGATGTATAAGTCCTGCCCTGATTTGCCTTTCCAAAATGAAGCACATCACATTTATCTAAATAAAACTCCATCTACCACTCCTTGGCCCTTTGGCCCATCTGATCAAGATCCCGTTGTACTCTGAGGTAACCTTCTTCCCTCTCCACTACACCTCCAATTTTGGTGCCATCTGCAAACTTACCATACCTCCTACGTTCACATCCAATACATAAATGGTGAAAAGCAGTGGACCCAGCACTAATCCTTGCAGCACACTGCTGGTCACAGGCCTCCAGCCTGAAAAGCAACCCTCCACAACCAACCTCTGTCTTCTACCTTTGAGCCAGTTCTGCATCCAAATAGCCCATTAAAGAAATTAACTCAATCCATTGTAATGCACTCCAGACACAGTGTATCCAGACTGCATCTGACGAAGGGGTTGAGGTCCAAAACCTTGCGTCACTCCAAATAAAACTGTTGGACTATAAACCCAGTCCAACACCAGTACCTCCACATCATGTCTACTGTGTTAAAAAAATGTTAATGAAATTTATCCTTCGCCAATTGGTGCTGAGGGGTAGTGAATTAAAGAGCCGGCCTAACAAACAGAAAATTGCTAATTTAAACTATAGTGGTGCGTTATAACCTTCTTTCAAAGTGCAGTTTCCGATTAAAATGGGCTCTTGTGGTGCAGTGGTAGTGACTCTAAAGGTCTGGGTCCAAGTCCCACCAGCACTGGACCTGAGTCACAACATTTTAAAGGCTCTTGTAATGTGTTGGTACTGTCCCTAGTTCTGGACCAAACAGTCTGAGTTCAAGGCCCACCTGCCCCAGAGATGTGTGCCATAACATATCCGAGCAGAGTAGGAAGTGTTTTTATGGTGGAGTGGTAGTGTTCCTAACTCTGGGTTCAAGTTTCACCTGCTCCAGAAGTGTGTCATAAAATGTCTGAACAGATTAAATATATATGACCGGAAAAGAATTTGATTCCCATTTTGAAAATCTACTTGACATCTCACAAGAGAGAGAATCAGCTACACATTGTCTGCTGGCTCAGAGAAGGATAGGTAAACTTCTGAAAAAACCTTGTCACTTACTTTTTTATTCGGCTAGCTCAAAGATCTTGGTATATTTGCTTACACCTAGAGGTGGACCAATTGAGGTTTGTGAAATAATTGAAGTGTTGGGAGCATCCTTACTTACAGAATATTCCAATTTAACAGAGGGCAGTCATGAGTTTTAACTGGATAAGGTAGGAATAGACTGGATGTTAGAAAGTCCATCTTTCCCCAGAGGATAGTGAGCTCTGGAATACATTGTGAACTGGTATGATGGGGTGGAATCTGTCAGGAGAGGGAGCTGCACTTGACTGGGACAGGGACTGTATCAAGTAGAAAGTTTATTGATGTCCTCATGGACACAATGTGGTCTTATGTGATCCCTGAACTGGTTTTGGCCATCTGAGATGATAAAACAAGAATCTTCCATGGTCACTTTTCCTCACAGTGACCCCGGCCTTTTCTTTGTGGCTCGTTTTGTAACTTCAGGAGAGTACATAAATAACCTACTGGCCAGAATGTATTTTTTTTTCAGTAAACCAATCTGTGCAGAGAAATGTGTTTTCTGACCCCCTATTTTCCTGAAGAGCGTGTGTTGTGTGAGAGCTCTGGGGACGTTTAGAGGAATAAGCATTTACACTTCTATATTACTGACTGCATATGTGGACCAATCGTTGCATCTTTAATGAATATATTTTGCCTTCATAATAAACCAATAATTGTGTTTACCAAGAAACCCGGCTGATTTTTTTGTTTATACCTGATACAGATGAAGTATTTAATTATCATCTTGGCAGCAGGAAATGATTTATTTTAATTATTATTTTTATTAAAATATCATTTTATGTTGTGACCCATGGAGTGACAGTACTAAAGTAACATTGCACTCCTCTAGCCTAGGTCCTAATAAGAGCAAAAATCTAGTTTTGAAATATTCAATTGATCTAGTCTCTTTTCAGAAAACACCTTTTCAGGATGGAGAATTTTACAGATTTGCACTGACATTTGTGTGAAGGAAGGCGAAATGATATAATTTACTGTAACATTAACTGTAATGAACATTGAGAAGTTTGATAACCTCACTGGTGCTTTGGACTGGCCACAGGGAGCCGTGCACACTAGCTATACCTGTGTGACAATATAAAATGGGCACAGCAGAAACGTCTGTGCACAAATGATACCGGCAGCTACAAGGAGCAAAAAAGGAAATGGCTTCTAAAAGTGAGGCATTAATTTATGACACACAGTCACTGTGTTGCATCCATACTACCGACTGGAGATTTTCCAGTACACTTAATGAAGTGAATGGTTGGCATTTTGAAGGCTGGTAGGATAAGATACCCAGCAGCATTACATTTTTGGCTGAGAGAGCAAATGTTCACTTTGACATCAGACAGAATCGGCACCCACTGTGCTTTCTTGGAACTTAAGGCAAGAGAGGTTTGAATGCTTGGGGAAGGATTTCTGTGCTAGGCGATTATGGATTTGATATTTACGCAAGATACAAAGTGAGTGTCACTAGCCAGGCCAGCATTTATTGCCCATTCCAAGTTGCCCTTAAGAAGATGAGAGTGAGCTGTCTTCTTGAAACGCTGCAGTCCATTTGGTGTAGGGAGTGCCACAGTGCTTTTAGGGAAGGAGTTCCAGGATTTTGACCCAGTGACACTCAGGAAACATCAAGATGTTTCCAAGTCAGGATGGTGCGTGGCTTGCAGGGAAACTTACAGTTGGTGGTGGGTTTAAAGTATTGGCTGCCCTTGTCCTTCTGGATGAGGGGGATTTGGAAGGTGCTATCCAAGGAGCCCTGGTGTTTTAAACACACAAATTCTTGAGAAATCCAAGCTGAGAATCTTGACAGAAGACCACTGCAGGCAGATTTGGTTATCATTTACAGTTTAGCTCAAGGATTACAGTATCCTCAGTTGATGTTTTAATTTTAGTATGAAAAATAAAAGCTGCAAACAATGCAAGAAATAATATAAACAATGGTTAAGAAGACTTTATGCATTACCACTGATTTTCTTTTGAACATGTAGGGGGTTGTTTTGGATTATCATATAGAATAATTATTGGACAGAACTCTCCTGCACTTACTGATTATAAATGAAGAAATGGATCAGAACAAATTAAGTAATTATTTAGATGCAATGTATATGGTGTCAGATTTAAAGGTCAGTTGTAGAATTAATTGTGTCAGATGAGTGCTCAATGCCAAACATTTACCCATAAATTTGTTAAAGAGTCATGTGAAATAGCTCTTGTTCAGTCTTGATTGGCTTGGAACACAATACTTCAAATTATATTTCAAAATGTTTCAGACATCCATGACCATAAATAAAATGATTGATTAATAACAGTGGCAGCCCTTGTCTTGGGGGGAATAACTCATCTCAATCCTATGGTCTATTTGTCTTCTTTGCTCATATAAACAATAATGGTCTTTGTTCATTCCCACTCTCCTGCACAACCAGAACTTGCATTACAGTTGCGTTCACTACATCTAGTCAAATGTCCCAGAGAGTTTTGCAGGGTGCTGAGTGAGTAATTATCAAGCAAGAGAGAAATAGCAGGGAGATCCAAATGATAGGTCGCATCGTAAGATCTTAAGAAAGCCTATGATAGGAAAGCAGGACAAATAAAGCTTCTCATAATTTCAGGATGTTCCAATGCTTAGCAGCCAATGAAATACTTCTGCAGAAATTCACTATTGTGATATTGAAACATGGCAGCCAATTGGTACACAGTAAGTTCTCACAGATAGCAAAGAAACAATAACCAGTTAATCAGTTTTAAAAAAAGATGATGTTGACGGATAAATATTGGTTGGATCATCAGAATTCTCCTGCTCCTCTTTGAAACAGTGTCATGGGATCAATCCACCTAATAGGACAGATGATAGAATGTATCATCAAAAATATAACATCTCTGGTAATGCAGCAGTATCCCATAAGTTAATGCACAATTT